ACATGGACTTTGACAAATATGGGATACTAATTAAAGTCAAGTTCAGGTAATTACGGTTCTGATTCTTCCTTATTTTGAAGTAGGTATGTGGATTGAGATTTTTGGCTCTTGTGACTGTCCTTTATTGGAGGAGACACAGATATTTTATATATTATTCTTTTGCCCTTTGAGAAGATGAGTGTTATATTTCTACCGGTGGGAAGTACTTATTTTACAAAGTGCTCTAGAATTTTATATTGTTTTTCTTTTGGCCTAGAAATCTCATAGTTCTTCATTAATGGACTATGATGTTTCTTTTGATGCCATTTAAATTAGTTCAGTATTATAGTACTGAACCTAAAGTTATTTTGTATTGTACCTATCTTATTTTCAAATCATCTTTTGGGAAGAAAAATCATTGGCTTCACTTATGAACAAAACAAAGAAAAGATTCCCTAGCATCTATCCCCTAGGTAGTGCTTCATGGCACCAACAAATATGGGTTATTTATTTGTTTATTTATTTTTGGTTCTCCATGGCTTGTTTACAGTTTGCTGTTCTTGCATCTTTATTACCAGGGAGACGGGACTACTCCAAGTTCTAAGTGCCCACCACCAATCTGGAGGAGTATGTTGCTTAAACCACTTTTTCTATCTGTGAGTTCAATTGATTTTTAACTTATTAATACAATATCCTTTCAGGAACGATCTGTTTCAACTATTCTTTACCTAGTTTCTCTCCAAGACCTAACAAATTGCCCCTTTAGAGTGGTGGATGAAATAAATCAAGGTCAGTTATACACTTACCGTATATTGTTATTCTTAATTAACTGGATGCAAGAAATCATTGTGTACATTTGTGCTTCAAGGAATGGATCCTATCAATGAGAGGAAAATGTTTCAGCAACTAGTGAGAGCTGCCAGCCAACCCAATACACCGCAGTAAGATCACTCTTTTCTCTCTTCTATTCTCATGATTTTTTTTTACCATTATCATGTCTAAACACCAGCAATTTATGTGCTGAAATTCTTTGCTTATGTCCTTGTAATTAAAGAATTTGGTGTGTATGCTTTTTTCAAATCGTTGAAAAACCAACATCTTAGAGAATTCTGGGAAGATGTCTGCCTCTACATGGAATTCTGTTTTAAGAATGACCATTGATGTAAGACGATTACGGAGTTCGTATACATATTAATCTGCAATAATTTTGCATGGCCAATATATCTGCTTCGTTAGGATCAAGAGGGGAAGAAGTTTCTTTGAAGGTCTCCAGATTGTTTGTTTTTGAACTGCTTGGTTCAGATGACAAAAGCCATGACCTTGGAAATGAGGTCAATTAGATGAGTACTCTCTTCTATTATTTTGTTGTACCTGGTTAACAAGGGCTAACCCTTTTTTTTCACTTTAGTCCCGAACAGAACAATCTTTTGCCTTAAGAAAAGCTATGGGAAATCTGTTCGGAAAGAGATATTTATCAAATAATAAAAGCGGTATTATCCCTAAACGTTGAGAACACACAAAGAAATCATGCAAGGCAACGTATTAACATCATCTGCAAAGTTGAGGCTCTTAGATATTATTGTAGCTTATATCTGGACAAAGGGTACTAATTTTGTAAAGGAAAATTTTCATTAATATTTTGTTTTGCATATTGCATTCCAATTCCTGCTATCTACTTTGAAATTCTGCTCTAAGTAATCAAACATGTTCCATTTATACTTTGAGAAATCAGTATTTTGATAGTTGTACACTGCTACCCACCATGCAGATGCCGTGTTAACTTGGAATTATCCACTATCAGATTTTCTTCTTTATTTTGTGTTATGACTAGACATTAAATTCCATTGTTTTCAGTTTGATTCTAGTGTCTGATTTGTAACAGCGGTCATCCAATGTGCATCTAACAAAGTTAGGCAGAAACTGATAAAGTAATAAGCAGTTAGTAAATGTAATATATATGGTTAGTCCCTTGTGAGAGATTCCCTTACAAGTGTTATCAGAGTGCATAAACGCCACTGACAACGAAGCTTCTGCAGAAAGCACGCAGATATAAGTACAAGGGATCCATTTATTTTCAACCTTCTATGGCGAGAAATGTCAAATAGTTCTTTTTGTGGAAGACATATTTGAAGTCTCGAACTCTCAGCTCTCTACTAGAGGGAGCATGAATCCATGTAGGTTTATTTTGTTTAGGGATCATGCCTGTTATGCCGATTCCCCTGCATATTTTGGAGAAATTAATGAAATCGTGAAACTAGACCTTGTCTACATAAACATCCAGCCCTATTTCTGATTCTGCCAAATCCTTTACAGGTGCTTCTTGCTTACCCCAAAGTTGCTGCCAAATCTTGAATACAGCGAAGCATGCAGCATTCTTACAGTAATGAATGGGCCCTGGATTGAGCAGCCATCCAAAGGTTTTCTACCACTTTAACCAATACCATATGCTTGTAGTCATAACATTAGTCACACACTAAATGTCTTTCCTTTGGTTCTAAATTGCAGTTTGGAGTGGTGGAGAATGCTGGAGATCTATTATGGGCTTAACCTCTGTTGCTGCTGACTAGAATCAGTAATATTTGTGGTACCAGGAACTGTCCATAAGAAAAAAATACAATTTTCTAGTTGATCATCATTTTGCACTGTTAAAAGCTGAACCATGGTCGCTCAGCTATTGTTTTTGAAAAATCTTAAATAGTGCATAATTTTTTTGTACGCATAAATTCGTAGTGCTGCCCTTGTTTATAGTAGTAACATAGAGCCATAGAGGTATTCCCTCTGTTCGAACTTCAATAATTTGTCCTCCATTCTCTTTGTTTATATATATACATATTCAGAAATTGTTCACTCTATATATTACTCTTCGTGTATCAATACATATGCTTTCTTTCTAGTGTCCCTATCAAGATAATCAGCAACGGAACTGGATGAAGAAGCCGTTTTTCTAATATTTTTGTTCAAATATTTTCATATATGATAGAACTGCTAAATTTCAATTAGTCTGTAAAAGTGGCTATTTGTGAAAGTGAAATTCTCTTCCTATTATGCCCTTTGAAAGATTACTTAGTATTCTTCATTTTATTTTATTTTTGATTAGTCAACTATTGAAGACCAGCTTCGAGGCTTGAAGTTAAGGTTATTGATTTATGAGTAGTTCAAAAAATGTGTAGCAATTTTTTTTAGAAAGTGATTAATTTAAAGAAGAGATCATCCCAGTTTTGATTATTCCACCTTTGGTGAATATAATTTTACTGAAATTTCGGTAAAAGTATACTAATGCAGACTTGTGTACTATGATAATATATTGTTGTTCAGACACAAGTGCTTGTTCTTGAATTTTTAGCTTAAAAGTTCGATCAAATGCATATATCAAATCAACTCCAAATGCAATCAAATTTAAGTATGAATTTCCAAAGGTACTACAGACAATATTTCGAATATTCATTTCGTAACAAACAACAAATGTTCAAGTTAAAAATTTAAATTCAAGTCTTGAATCAACAATAGATTGATTACCAAACCAATGCAACTCTCAAAATGGGGAGCGGAAGAATTTGAGAGTTATGTAAATAATAAGTAATGATGGTTATATCTTTTGTTAAACTGGTGAAATAATATGTACAAATATAAATAACTTACCTAAATATGTATGTTTACGAATCTATTAAAAATTTGTATCAATAAAAGGCTTGATAGATAAATCGAGGAATTCTCGCATATAGCCACTCAAAAATAACTTAATTATGTTTCATAGCTATAGTTTGCTAATTACGATTTGTAGCTACATGTTAGAGGGAGGAGAGAGGCGAGCGAGAGAGGACATAGAGTGAAGAGAGATAAATGTATATGTATATCTGTCAAATAATTGTATATATGTAATTGGTATACATATGTATTTGTACATCTGGCCAACGAGATTGGGAGAGGGAGGAGAGAGGCAAAATGTATATGTATATCTGTTAGATAATTGTATATATGTAACTGGTATACATATGTATTTGTATATCCGGCGAGCGAGATTGGAAGAGAGAGGAGAGAGGCGAGTCAGAGAGGGCAGAGAGTGGAGAGAGGCTAATTGTATTTGTATATATGTCATATAATTGTATATGTACATGCATAGTTTGTATTTGTATATGTATAAAAGAGGAGAGAGGAGAGAGAGAGGAAGAGATGAGAGAGGCGACGTAATTACAACTAAAATTAAGCTACGAGCCGTAATTAATTCAAATTATCTATGTTAGCTAATGCCATAATTAATTCAAACTATATCTATATTAGCTAATGTTGTAATTAATTCAAACTATAGCTATGTTAGCTAATTAGCTAGTATATGTTTACTTATCCGCGTAATTTCCCCTAAACTAAATACCTAGCATATCAAATTACATAATCTTTAAAATCATTTCGTTTTTGTAGCTTATTTTTGAACATTTGTTGTTCCATAAACCAAATAGACACATATTTTATTCAATTATTTCTTATGTGAATTCGAATGTATGTAAAAAGTTATAAGATGTTTCTATCAAGTTAATATATAAATATGAATTTATATATTTTGTATATACATTTTTTAACACTTGATACACATATTTACTTTAATTATTAGCTTTTAAAATTAATTATATATAATAACATGTTACTTATATGTTTTCAATCTCTTCATAAACATCCGATAAAATTGAAACGATAAATATATATACATTTTTTAACACTTAATCGTTATGAAGTGATACACATATTTACTATAATTATTAACTTTTAAAATTAATTATATATAAACACATGCTACTTATACGTTTTCAGTCCCTTCATAGACATCCGATAAAATTGATACGATATTGATGTGTTTTCATCCTCTCCCGAGGAAACTTGCATCAATAAAGGGAGGGCATATATGTCAATAAATCAAAATGTAGCAGGTAAAACCACATATTGTCAAACTTGTTGGATCAAAATGATAAATCTAATAACATACTTTTAATACACACTCTCTTATCTCGTTATCAACATACACCAAAATGGATAGGCATTATATATGATTTTGTTTATTCACCACAACAATCCCTTCAGTCTCATTCAACAATGGCTTCCACAGCTACGCCTTCTACTCTCACTCTTTCCTCTATTTTCTCACAAGAACTCAACCCCAATTCTCTAATTTTCAAATCAAAGCCTCTTCTTTTCACAACCCACAAATCTTTTTCTCTGCACACATTAAGCCTCCAGTACAAAGAGAGGAAGAATGGACCTCTTGTTGTTGCTGCTATGGCTGCTGAAGCTGAGGTTGAAGAGGATGTAGAACAGGAAGGTGAAGAAGGTGGAGAAGGGGCTGTTGCTGTTTTAATTCCACCGTCTAAGCCTAAGAAAGGCAAGGCTGCATTGCCCTTGAAGAGGGATAGAGTATGTTGAAGAACCCATCTTTTTATTGTTGATTTGGTGGATTTTTAGATATGAAAGATGGGGTTTTTTTCGTTGTGTGATATGTGGGGTTTGCTTAATTTTTGTGTTTTGAGATGATATTAGCATGAAAATAGCTTTCTTGCCCCTAAAGTGGATATAGTATGTGGAAAATCTCCATTTTTTTTTTTAAATTTTATGGATGTTAGATGAAAGATGAGTTTTTGTTGGTTTGTATGATATGTAGAAACAACTATGTGTTTTTTTTTCTTGAGCTCCCGGAAACAGCCTCTCTACCTCTCTCTACACTTGGCAGAGCCCACTTTGAAGGACTACACTGGGTATGTTGGTGTTGATGATTAATATTGTGGTGATATTACCATGTACATAACTTTTTTGCCCCTAAAGAGGATAGTTATGTAGAAACTCTTCATTTCTTATTAATTTTGTGAATGTTAGATGAAAGATAGGTCTTTGTTGGTTTGTATGATATGTGGGTTTTGCTTAAGTTCTTAATTTATTAATCTTTGTGGTGAGATTACTATCAGTATGATCTGTTTTGGAATTTCTTGGTTCATTTTTATGGGTGAACTTGTCTGAATTTGTTTGCTTGTGTAAAATTTGGTCACTACTGATTAACCACCGAAGGTCTGTTTTGTATGATGATGAGATAATTCAGTAGTTCATTAATCTTTGTGGTGAGATTACTATCAGTATGATCTGTTTTGGAATTTCTTGGTTCATTTTTATGGGTGAACTTGTCTGAATTTGTTTGCTTGTGTAAAATTTGGTCACTACTGATTAACCACCGAAGGTCTGTTTTGTATGATGATGAGATAATTCAGTAGTTCATTATAATAGTAGGTGATTTCTAGCAGCTCTAAGCCTTGTTGGACTGAGTGGGAAGTAGCAGGTCGTTGGTGGATTAATCCTGTTGCATGAGCTTGCTGGGACACCATCCTTATAAAAAAGATTATAATTATACCGGGAATTATGAAATGGAATTTAATAATACGTTAATTACAATTTCTAAGCAAGGGAAAAGAAATAATATTAAGCTAAGATTGTATCTGTATTGTGGTTGGCGAGTCACGTCACAATTACCTAGTCTTACACTGTCATTTCAAAGGAAGCTAGTTTTTATATGCTTGCAGTTATTGGCAAGTTATGAAGCAAGCATTTCCATTGCCTGTACTTTCCTGTTTGTATTGGGGGGACACGTTTTTTTTCTTCCTGTTTAATGTAAACTACCTTCCTCCTACCCAAACATGTGAGGATTCAGAATCTTAAGTTACTTGGTGTAATACTAATAAAATGTGGAGTCTTTTTAAAAGTGGAATCACGGTGGCAAAGATCAATCAGGAACGGTGAACAATCAATTTTGATGCAGCAAATGTTAGACCTTGTGTAGTGGGATTGAATTAGACCATTTGAACTCTCTCATGTGATCCTTGTCCTCATAATAAGACATCTGAGGAAATATGCTGTCCGGAGATTAAACATTTCACATAATTCTGCGTGTGCTTGTTCCTTTGACCAGTAATGGATGTCACTGTAAAGGTGAAGAATTTTGCACTTTGGAGATGCTAGTTCTGGAAGATCATCTCTATTGATTTTCAAACTACATTTCTGAGATGCTTTTCCTGTAGCTGTTACGTCAATCATCAAACTTCTCTGTTTCTTTCTCTATCTCATTTACCCGTTGCTCCATCTATTTTCTCATAAGTTGGTTACTTCTTTTTCCATGATAATTAGACGCGGTCTAAGAGGTTCTTGGAGATTCAGAAATTAAGAGAAATCAAGAAAGAGTATGACTTGAAAACGGCTATAGAACTGCTCAAACAAACAGCTAGCTCAAAGTTTGTTGAAACCGCTGAAGCTCATTTCCGGCTCAATATTGACCCAAAATACAACGATCAGCAGCTTAGGGCAACTGTAAGTTTTCAAAGATTTCATTAATCTTCATTATGTACTTCGAAGTTTATATCGAGTGTTTACTGGATAGTATCTCTAATTGTGGTGACTTCTCTATTTCAGGTTAACTTGCCCAAGGGAACAGGTCAAACTGTTAAAGTGGCTGTCCTTACCCAAGGTATTCCTTAAGATATATTTTGTGTGAATCGATCATGATTGTATGCCAAATAACCAAGGGAAGTAGATTCCTTAATAATTGGTCTGTTAAACTCCTTTCATTGCTTGTAGAAAATAGTCATTTTTATTTTGTATTAATAAAATGTCATTTAACAAAATTGTACATGTGATACAAGTAACTGGGCGTATAATGTGGAAATGGTCTGCAAATTAGAATATCATATATGGTTGTCATCCCAAATTAGGCTTGGTTAATCAGATTGTCTAGTGAACTTATAGCTTGCATCCTACTTCTTTTAACACACCCCAAAGAAAAAGGAGTAACTTTTGGAGTTACTCTTTTTTCTATAAACAAACGATCCTCATATGGATCTTCCTTTTTAGGGTGATTGTTTATCTAGTTTTTGTAACACTATCTATTGAATGCACTATTCTAGGATCTTTTTGTATTTGGGATGTGGTCACAATGGTAAATTTTTTAATGTTTTGGTCTTGAATTTTTTTTTTTTGGAACTTTAGTCACTATTTTGGTATGCTAATTGTGTTGCAGCTAAAATTCTACAGGTGAAAAGTTCGATGAAGCGAAAAATGCAGGAGCTGATATAGTGGGTGGGGAGGATTTGATAGAACAGATAAAGGGAGGATTTATGGAGTTTGACAAATTGATTGCAACACCAGATATGATGCCTAAGGTGTTTCTATGTTCTTTGCTAATAAAAATGTCTGACTTGCCTTTGATGTTCAATTTGATCTCCTTTTTCATTTTTATATTCTCTTCGACAACCAGTCTATGAACTTCTGTCTCTTGGTTTTAAGAATCTCATATTGAAGTTTGCAATAGGCAAAGAGTGACTGTCTGTCTTAAATAATTCAGCATATCTCACTCCTAAAGTTTTTGTGCATGCATTTGGCCTTGTCAACCTGAGTATGTAACTTAACAATGCGTAGCTTGCTCTGAACCAACTCACATGGAAAAGCTCTAGCTGTCCTCTCCTTTTCTTCTGAAAATACTTCACAGCTAAAATAATGATTTGGTTGAATGAAACATATTTTGTTAAATTCTATCACTCACATCAGAGTCTTTCTCTGTCATTCAATGTACACATGTTCATACATTTTACTAGGTTGGTGCTCTTAAACTTCCTCGACCTCAAAATCTGGCTAGTCAGCATCTGCATATTTTCTAATCAAGCCTTCTTTCTGAAAAAGTTAAATCATAAAATTCCGTTGTCACATTGTGCATGAGTTTTCCATTCTTCATGTGCCATTTCTTGGAACATCTTCCGCATTGTATATTTGTGGATTTGGTCCATCTTGCTTTATCATAAATCTAATGCTGCAGGACTGATGGCAATATTAAGCCTAGCTTAAGCTGAGTGATTAATCGCAGAGGCTCCCCTCCCCCTCTTTCCATTTTAAGGCTCACTGACAGCTGATTTTAAAAAATTGGACCTCTTTAAGTGACTTTTGTCTAGAAATTAGTTTTATTAGCACCTGAACAAGTATCTGTGGCTGGTTTTACGTCATTCTTTTGTGAATTCATATTGATACATTCTCTACTATTTGCTGCAGGTTGCTAGCTTAGGTAGGGTCCTTGGTCCTAGAGGACTCATGCCAAACCCAAAAGCTGGTACTGTCACTACAAATATACCTCAGGTAAAGTGTCAAATATTTTCTTCTTGTGAAAAAGTTTAATCAAAATACTCTCTTTCTTATGCTCTTATGTGTAATGGTGGAATCCCTAGATCTTTATATTGAATGGGAAACCACTCCATACATATCCTAGTTTGGAAGTTATTCAGAGTTTAGCAAATGTGAAACAATGTAATTAACAAGTAGGCAGTGATGATTTATTTACAGGACTATTTCCTGCTCCTCGAAAATGTATTGAAGTATGTAAACTTTTTGTACTTCTTCCAGGCTATTGAGGAATTCAAAAAGGGTAAAGTAGAATACCGAGCAGATAAAACTGGAATTGTTCACTTGCCATTTGGAAAAGCAAATTTCTCGGAAGAAGATCTTATCATAAACTTCATTGCAGCAGTGGTAAGTTTTATTGTTAGCTTCTATTTCTTACACTTTGTTCCAGAATAGTTTGAATATACCAACAACAACATACCCAGTAAAATTCCAAAGTGAGGTCTGGGGAGGGTAGAATGTATACAGTCCTTACAACTACCTCATGGAGGTAGAGAGGCTGGTAGAAGCCGTTCAAAATTAATTCAACTGCATTTCTTTGAATGACAGAAATCAGTGGAAGCAAACAAGCCATCAGGTGCCAAAGGAGTGTATTGGAAGAGTGCACATGTATGCTCGTCGATGGGGCCATCCATTCGGTTAAATGTAAGGGAGATGCTGGAGTACAAGCTTCCGAATGCTTAATTGAGCAAGACATGTATATTGTATCTTCTATCATCTACCTAAGTTTCTTCGGCGCCTTATCTGAGCTTCCATTTTGTGAGGGTTAGGATACAAAGTAGGTGGAGTTTGAAAGGAGATCCAAACTTCATATTGTCAATATCAGTGTGGAAGCATTCGTAGGCACAGTTGGTAAAAGAATAATTTTGTTTGATATTGTCAATGTTTATGTTCAGTTTAATTCTTACTAGGTGCTAATGTACATTATGCTTCGATTTGCTAAAAAAGGGAGCTAATTCAAATTTCAGAAGTTTTCTATGCTGCAAGATTCTCTAATTTGTGTTCATATCTTGAGATTGTGCCAACAACTGATGCGGCTGAATAAACCTGTCAGTTCTAGTATTTTTCTTTACTTTACTACTACTGTAGAAAAGGGTCATACGCATGTCCCAATGGGGTGGTCTTTAATTTTTTTGGATAATTTCTGTCCTTCCTCACTTACAATAACAAAAAGTGGTCGAAAATACTCTAAACATCGAAAAAATAAAATAAAATAAAATATTTGTATCGTAAAACAATTTATGTCTCTTATTCCTAAAGAACGAAGCATAAGTTCAATTCATAATTCATAAGTAAGGCCTTATAAAACATAAACTTAGTTCTTATAAAATTTTACGCATAAAGACATAAGTTTAGTTTCAAAATGTTATATCTTAAATCTTAAGAAGTTCATAACTTATGAGTTATGACTTACAAGACATAACTTAGTTTCTATGGAATTTATGTTAATAGAGGAATAAGTTCAGTCTTAAAACCCACAAAGTTATGCCTTAAGAGACATACTTTATTCCTACAAGACAAAAGTTTTCTAAGCTTATACCTTACGAATTAGATATGTCGAATAAGACAAAAAATCTCCAAAATTAGGTCATAATTAAAGATACTTTGATCCATATATTTCATTAAATAAGCGATATGGACAAAAGTTAAAAGATCACTAATTTAAGGATAAAAATTAAAGATCATCAATCCGCAACAAAACTTAGAAAGAAAAAGTCAAGACTATTTTCTGGTCCATATGAGACAATATATCCCAATCACATAATCAACCCAATTTGGAGCCACACAGTTGGTGAGCTCTCTCCCTTCCAGTTTGTAATTGGAGGCCTATCATCCTCTTTCCCTTTCCAACTTTTAAAGAAGAGATTTAAGGGTCAACCTCAATTGATGAGTACTCTCCCTTTCCACATTATAGGTGTTATTATTCAAATTTCATTATATATTTTCTTTCGTACGATCAAAAATAGTTATCTATTGGAGAAATATAAGCATGGACACTCGACTTTTTTCCTACTTCTCCTTCACAACCCCTCTTTTCATTTGCCCTTACCTTACCTTACTCCGATAATTGGAAAGTTATTAATCGCTTGAAAATATAAAAACAAAAAAAACAGAAGTACCAAAATAAAAAAGGATCCGATGCACTTGTGATTAAATTATCTTCAACAAAAGAATTTAAAGGCAGAAAACTATGATTTGAGGAATATTTTATATGTAATTTAAAGAAAAATGACTGATAGTGTTTTAGTGCCGGCAAAATGAGCTCATATTTTGGTAACTCTCCCAACCCGTCCATATTTTAATGGGTTGGGTGAGTGACTTTTTACATGCGTAAAATATGGGTTGATATCCATATTCAATCCATAAAAATATGGGTAAACTATGGGTAAAATATGGATTAGCCAAATGGGTTAAGCTTCTAACCTTTATTCACTCAAAATTCATGATATCACTAAAAAAATTTCTAACTTCTCTTCCTTTTTATGTTCTTCTATAAAACTAATTATTTTTCTCTATAATTGAAAAGGTGAAGTCTTTGGCCCTCCAAAAATATATATTTTAAATGTACATTTCTTTTGTTAATTATAATTATATTTTTGTATTTGTTTAATTTTATATTGAATGATAAATAATAGTGTAAAATAAACAAATCATGTATTAGTATTGACATTGCTTAAGCCTTAAAGTGCATTAAGCATGTTTTAGTCCTAAAATGCAACTATTCATTTACTTTGAAATTAAATTAAAAATATTTTCCCCTTGTTATTACATATATTTATTTTATATTGAAAAGTTAGGATTTTTTTCTTTTGACTTTTATGACACAATAAAACTAAATAAAGCATTTTCAACATTTTATATGGGTAAACTAGTATTTTACCCAATCCATTTGTTAGCCAATCCATTTTTATCCATACCAAATATGAGCGGGTTGAATTATTACCCATTTTATGTTGACCCATTTTCAACCCATCCAAATTTGACTCAACCCGCCCATTTGTCACCGATAATGTGTTTGCATAATGCAATTAAAAGTATTATTGAGAATGTGGTTGCTTTTCCATAATTGTTAAAAGGGAATTGATTTAACAGACGCGAATCTAGGGTCTTTGTCTCTAAATATAAAATTAACAATTTGAGGGTCTTGCTATAGTCTAGTTCTATTTTTGAGGAGTAAAAAAATAATAATACTTTCCTTTAGTTATATACTTCATAGACAAATATATACTACAAGATAAGCCACCTCATGAGTCTTCACAAAGGTCTTATTTTTCTTACAAAATTCACTAAGGTCTTATTATTACTCCCTTCCTTTTATATTACTCGATCCTGATCTGACACATTCGTTAAGAAATTTTTTTACTAAACTAACCTTGTTAATCATGTTTTGGAACTCTAAATTTGATAACTATTAATTTGCTAAAATGAACAAGTAAAATGAAACATATATACAAATCAAATTAAGTAAAACGGAGGGAGTATTACTTTTATAATGAGGAGGCCTTACGAAAAGTATTTGTTAAATCATCCTCATAGTAGCACCAAAAACCTTTACAACCATGCATATTCAAAGAAAGGGAAAAATAAGAATAAAGTAAAGCCTGGCAAAAAGAGAGAACAATAATATAACATTTTTAAAAAGAAGGATGGATAAAAGTATGCAATATGTCTGCTTAATAAAACAAAGGGAAAAGGCTCAAATATGCCATCGAATTTTTAGAAAAGGCTCATTTATGCCATCCGTTAAAAGTTTGGCTCATCTATGACATTACCGTTTAAGAAAAGGCTCATTCATGCCATTATTTTTTAACGGTGGTTTTGCAAAACCATTTTTTACACGTGGCCAATTATAATTCGGCCACGTCATTATTTTTTTCAGAATTTTGATTTTTTATTATAAAAAAATAATGACGTGGCCGAATTATAATTGGCCACGTGTAAAAAATGGTTTTGCAAAAAATGTTTGTTCAGAATTTTGATTTTTTATTATAAAAATAATAATGACGTGGCCGAATTATAATTGGCCACGTGTAAAAAATGATTTTGCAAAACCACCATTAAAAAATAATGGCATGAATGAGCCTTTTTTTAAACGGTAATGGCATAGATGAGCCAAACTTTTAACGGATGGCATAAATGAGCCTTTTCTGAAAGTTTTCCCTAAAACAAAAGGTACAAGTTGTTGGCCAATGTGCTAGTTATATATTTGCAATTTGCAACAATTGATACTTAAAAAAGACCTGCCATAGGCCAACAGCTCAAATTTCAAAGGTATTTTTATCCTTTGACAGAATTTTATAATGAAAAGGACAAATGCACCATGTGCTCAAATTATATTATCTACTTGAAGAAAATGGCCATAGGCCAATGTTGTCTTTGATATTCTGTATTATAAAAAGGAGGCTCATCTATACTTGGTAGACACAAATTACATAGATAGCAATGGTAATGTCTAGTTTCCCACCTCTTCTCTTGTTATCATGGTTTCTTTTTGCTCATTTCTTTTGGTTAGTAGTCATAGCAGAGAGATCTACTTATATTGTCCATTTGGACAAGTCTTTAATGCCTAACATGTTTGCTAGTCACCATCACTGGCATTCTGCTACAATTGAATCAATCAAGATTGAGAATCCTGCTTTACTTAATAGCCACCATCCTGTTCCAAAGCTTCTATATTCTTATGACAATGTATTTCATGGCTTCAGTGCTGTTTTGTCTAAAGATGAGCTAGAAGTTCTCAAGGAGTCCACAGGCTTCATTTCAGCTTATAAAGATAGATCTGTTGAAGCGCACACAACACACACCTCCGAGTATCTTAAGCTCAATCCTTCCTCTGGTCTGTGGCCAGCTTCTGGTTTTGGCCAAGATGTGGTCATTGGTGTTCTTGACTCTGGTGTCTGGCCGGAATCTGCCAGTTTCAGAGATGATGGGATGACTGAGATACCCAAAAAATGGAAGGGAATTTGTAGGCCAGGCATGGAGTTTAATACTTCATTGTGTAACAAGAAACTCATTGGGGCCAATTACTTCAATAAAGGGCTATTGGCTAGTAATCCTGATGTGAACATTTCCATGAATTCTGCAAGGGACACTGGAGGTCATGGCACCCATGTTGCCTCCATTGCTGCTGGTAATTTTGTCAAAGGAGCATCATATTTCGGATATGCTCCGGGAACAGCAAAAGGGGTTGCACCGCGAGCTAGGCTTGCTGTGTATAAATTCAGCTTTGATGAAGGGAATGTTGCTTCTGATTTGATTGCAGCTATGGACCAAGCGGTTGCAGATGGTGTTGACATGATATGCATTTCTTATGGTTGGCGCTTTATTCCTTTATATGAAGATACTATTGCAATAGCTGCTTTTGGTGCCATGGCCAAGGGCGTGTTGGTTTCTGCATCAGCAGGAAACCTTGGTCCTGGTATGGGAAGTTTAAACAACGGAGTACCGTGGATCTTCACAGTGGCGTCAGGTCATACTGACCGTTGGTTTTCAGGGACTCTGACCCTGGGAAATGGTCTAAAGATAAGGGGATGGAGCTTGTTTCCAGCGAGAGCTATTATTGATGATTGGCCTGTAATTTACAACAAGACAGTGTCTGCTTGTGATTCAGCTGAAGTATTAGCTCAACTACCGGATGCTGGACGTAGCATCATCATTTGTCGGAAGAGCGCAGATGCAGAAGAAGTCTCTAGCCAAATGAGATCTGTTGCAGAGGCTAGACTTGGAGCAGCCATCTTTATTTCCAATGATCCAGCAGTATTAAGGTCCATTGAATTTCCAAATCCTGGAGTTGTTATAACCCCCAAGGAAGGGAAACAGGTTCTCAGTTATATTTCAACTACTCCTGAACCCAAGGCCAGCATTAGTTTCCTGGAAACGCATTTGGACTTAAAGCCTGCTCCAGTTGTTTCTGCATCCTCAGCTAGAGGCCCTTCTCGAAGCTACTTGAGAGTGTCAAAGCCAGACATATTAGCACCAGGAGTGTTAATTCTAGCCGCCTGGCCATCTAATATTATGGCAGCGACGATTGGTACCAATATAGAATTGGCAACTGATTACCTTCTTGAATCAGGCACATCCATGGCTGCTCCTCACATTGCTGGAATAGCTGCATTGGTTAAAGGTGCACATCCTGAATGGAGTCCTTCAGCTATTCGTTCCGCCATGATGACCACCGCTAACCCATTGGATAATACTCAAAAACCAATAAGAAAATCTGAGGATAACAAACCTGCTACATCACTAGATATGGGAGCTGGACATGTTGATCCTAACCGGGCTCTTGATCCAGGCCTTATATATGATACTACTCCACAAGATTATGTTAATCTTCTTTGTTCTTTGAATTTCACAGAGGAGCAGTTCAAAACAATTGCAAGATCATCAGCTAACCACAACTGCTCAAATCCATCCTCGGATATCAATTACCCATCATTTATTACTTTTTTTAGCCCAGAAGGAAACTTCACTTTTTTGGAGCAGAAATTCAGGAGGACTGTGACAAATGTTGGGAGTGCTGCAGCTAAGTATAGGGTGAAGGTGAAAGCACCAAGGAATTCAAAGATTTCTGTGTCACCGCAAACATTGGTTTTTAAGAAGAAAAATCAGAAGCTGAGCTACAGTTTGACCATTCGCTACAAAGACGATGCAAAACAAGAAGTCCAATCTGGTTCAATCACATGGGTGGAAGAGAATGGAAATCATACAGTACGGAGTCCTATTGTAATATCTCCAGAGATAGAGACCTGGTAGTGAAGCTCTTTTGCAATTTCTAAGTTTGTAACTGTGAAAAGGATTCCATCTGAAATAGCTGGATACCTGCCGGTAAAGCATGCGTACTTTGAAGTTATTGTTGAAATATAATAATTTGCTAAAACATAAGATGACTTGTGGTAAAAGTACTCATTACTAGAAAAGTACTCATTACAACCATGCATATTCAAATATAGGGAAAAATTAGAATAAAGTAAAGCCAGTAAGAGAACAACAATTAAAATTTAAAGGAGGATGGATAAAAGTATGTAATATCTCTGCTTAATAAATAAATTATATTTTTCACCCAAGGGTGTGGGTTAGTGGTCAATAAAGTAGTTGAGATTCATGAGGTCTCAGGTCCTATTCCCAACAGAGACAAAAAACACTAGGTGATTCTTCCCATATGTCTTAGCCATGGTGGATAGAGTTACTTGGTACCCGTTGTTGGTGGGGGATGGCAGATATCACGTGTTAATAGTCAACGTTCGCGAAAGTTGGCACGGACATCACGGTCATCAGAAAAAAAAAATCTGCTTAATAAAACAAAAGGTACCAAGTTGTTGGCCAATGTGCTTGTTATATATATGCAATTTGCACTAATTTATACTATAAAACCCCATTGGCCAATAGCTCAGACTTCAAAGGTATTTTTATTCTTTTGACAGAATTTATATTGAAAAGGACCAGTGCACCATGTGCTCAAAGTATATTATCTACATGAAGAAAATGGCCATGGGCCAATGGTTTCTTTGAGCTTCTGTGTTATAAAAGGAGCCTCATCTATACTTGGTAGACACAAATTACATAGATAACAATGGAAATGGCTAGTTTCCTACCTCTTCTGTGGTTATCTTGGCTTCTTTTTGCTCATTTCTTTTGTTTAGTAGTCATAGCAGAGAGATCTACTTATATTGTCCATTTGGACAAGTCTTAAATGCCTAAGGTGTTCGCTACTCACCATCACTGGCATTCTTCTACAATTGAATCCATAAAGATTCCAACTCCTGCTTTACTTAATAGCTGCCATCCTGTTCCAAAGCTTCTCTATTCTTATACAATGTATTTCATGGCTTCAGTGCTGTTTTGTCTAAAGATGAGCTAGAAGCTCTCAAGATAGGTCTGTTGAAGCTCACACAACACACACCTCCGAGTTTCTTAAGCTCAATCCTTCCTCTGGTCTGTGTCCAGCTTCCGGTTTTGGCCAAGATGTGGTCATTGGTGTTCTTGACTCTGGCGTCTGGCCCGAATCGCCAGTTTCAGAGATGATGGGATGCCTGAGATACCCAAAAAATGGAAGGGAATATGTTGGTCAGGCATGGAGTTTAATACTTCATTGTGTAACAAGAAACTCATTGGGGCCAATAATTACTTCAATAAAGGGCTATTGGCTAGTAATCCTGATGTGAATATTTCCATGAAAAGGTTTCTGTCTGAAATAGCCGGATACCTGCCGGTAAAGCATGCGTACTTTGAAGTTATTGTTGAAATATAATATTTCGCTAAAACTTTAAAGCATGACTTGTGCCGATAATGTATTGTGGGCTGGTAAGTACTCGTTACTAGTTGTTTCTTTTTAAGCCAAAGAAAAGTGCCACCACCAAAGAGGTCTTTTTAAATAGAGCAGCTTCAAGAATACAGATAGGGCAATTCCTTCACAAACTGGTTTGCTGGAATTCAATACTTGACTGCTGATGAATAAGATGAATTCTTTATGATAATCAAGCTTCTTATAGGCATGGAGTGTATTGGAACAGCTGAAGGAAAAAAAATAGAACTGCCACATCCATTTCAATTGTAGTACTGTACATCAGGTTTCCATATTGAAATGAAGTCCGGACTCGAATAGAGATGTTCACACTAATGTGTCCTAACTCTATGATATTGTTATGCAGATATCATAAAAAAGACTAGTACATCCACTAGTTGACATCGGGACTAGGGAGAACCATTTAGTGATGACTGTATTAAAGTATTCATAAGTAGTACAACTGAAACTTCTAAATTGACTAGTTGTAAAAAAAAACCTAGACAGTGGCTATGGAAGAACGGATTGTCTCGAACCCGAAACAAGGTATCAAATGTGGTTCTCAAATCCTCCTAAAAATAGGATATATGCAGCCTGGGGAAGTCTTTCACCAGGAATTTGGCTCTGAGTAATGTGGGCGTTTTTTCTTTTTATGATGACGGTGGTGTCCTTCCACTGGCTACCTCCCACTATAGCATAGTTACTGGGTAACTGTCCGCACCAAGGCTTAGGTAGATGGACTAATATGAACGTTAGCACATATTGATCAGAGTTTTTCCTCAGCCTAACCAAAGAATATAAGTTATGCATATGGAAGTCTTCACCAAAGAAGTTGGTCCTTGGTAGTATAGGCATAAGCGCATAAGCAAACCTTTTGATCTATGTGCAAAGAAATCTTTAGACGAGTAATTTGAGAAGTTACCTGGAGTCATTCAGCTTTTGGAAATAGCTACACTTTCAGCAGGAATCACCATATATCAACTATTTCTAGGGGAGAAAAGGAAAGAGCAATTTAGATAAATAGACTAAATTTTAGATTTTGTGATCAATAATCTGCCTAATAGAAAAAGATTAGATGACTAATTTTCCCTATCAACAATAGATAAGCATAAAGAACATAAATATCTGAAAGCTTCCTTCTTTGAACAAGAAAAAATTATAGAGGCAGTCAAAAGCATCTGACTACTGCTTACCAGTTTGATGATCCCTTTGTCTAAAATATTTGGTAGTCACCATCATCAGTATTCCTCCACCATTTATCCCATCGAGATTTTAGCCCAACTTCACTAATTGGAAATCCAGCTCCAAAGCTCCACTGTTCTTTTGAAAATGTCTTTGATGGGATCAGTGTTGTTTTGTCCAAAGATTAGCTCAAGCTCTAAATATGTCCCGGTTCCATTTCAGCTTATATAATAGAACTGACTGATGCTTTAAATAGCTACCGGGGAATCATCGTAGTTTTGAACAGCATAACTTATCAAAGGAAAGGTTGCCTACCATTTAACTCAGAACAACATATAGTTTTCTAATTCTCATCATAACTCAACTAAACCAATATAAATTAATCAAAACTATAGCTGGATCAGCTTGCTACCCTTTCCCGACTACCTTTGAAATCCTTTTGGTACGATACATGTATATACAAAGTTAAAATGCTTAAACAATATCAAAGGGCTTTGCTATTTATATTTGCTTCCTGTATTATGTGCATTTGGAAATTTTCCTCAATATCAACCTTCAGCATAAATCATATTGTAGCTCCTATCAGATATAGGTACATACAAAGAACAAGTTTTCAACAAGTATAAATTTTGCACAATCAAGAGATTTTGAAGCCATACTTCTTTTGAATTAAACAAAATAAAGCACCGATAAAGAGTGTGCCAAAAAATCTAACCACTGTTATAGTTGAATTTTAAAAATAATTGTACAAACGATACTTGGTACCATAAAACTGGGAACCATTATCTATGTTTCTTCTTATTCTCGTGATCTTTGGATTCCAATCCAACGTGCAAAATCCACCCACCTGGTAAGAGAGGGATACAAATTTAGAAAATTAGAAGATAGAATAAACTTCCAAAGAAAAACCTTAGAGCGGAAAGAACTTGTACATCAATGATCCCAAAAAGGTATTGCCAGTTCGAAAAACGAAGCACAGTGCACCAAGCATGATCTTGTTCTTGTGTAGCAAGGGCTCCAATATTCGTTGTTCAATAACTCCAGCAAGGATTTGATACCTGATAAAGGAATAAAATATATAAATGAAATGGCATGGGCCTTCCAATTTTTTTTTTTTTGACATATAGAGCTCACGAGGGGGTGGGGGGTTATGTTTTTGCAGTTACTAGCTTCTTCCTTGGCTTCAAGAGATTACTCTATATTGCATTCATTTCCTTCTGTGGTTTTCTATGACCTAACTACTTATGAATACATCACAATTCGAAAGGGGAAAGTCTAGGTACATATAGGTTATACGTTGTTATCAAACTAAAACGTCATGGATGAATTTCAATGAATTACGGAGAAAATTTGCATAGATCATTCACAATCTGTCCTCCATAATAAAAAGGATACGAGATTCCAGACTTTTATATGCTGTAATGCTATTAAAAACACAGTAAGATGACAAAACCTCATTATTGTAAAATCTAAAAACACTTTGTATATGCTTGACATTGTAAACAGACTCAAATTCTTCTCAAGAAGTTTTTTAAACTAGGTTTAGCCACATAAACTTTATAGCAAACACTACACAGCAAGCTTATGAGCCTTATATAGTGTACTGGTGAATCTAGGAGCTCCATCCAAAGAAAGGTCATCTGTAAAATGACCAAACAGGGATATCTCATAAGAAGATAGTGAAACGGAAGAGTAGATGTATGAAAGAAGATGATAAAGATGTTCAATTAGAAAAAGTAGCTGTTTTAGGGCAAGAGAACTGGCAGCAACAGAAGAAATTGTTGTTTCGTACTATAGATGAATAATCTTGAGCTGTATTGATGGGGTAAAAACAGTGAAATTCTCCTAGTACTTCTCCATACTAAGAGATGGAAGAAGCTGATCATTATTTTGGATGACAGTAGTTCTTGAAAATGTGAAATACCTAAGGTTGCTTGAGAATGCCATGTAAACACCATAGGCAGCACTGCTAGACAGAACAGGTAGATTCTCAGCTTCACCAGCAAAGGTTTTATCAATAGCCTTCCGTGCGTTGATTAAAGTGTTTGTTACACCTGTACCAACCTGGAAATGAGGAAAAATGAATTAACAAAATACATCAAAGGTACAGCACTCTAGCTGACACTAAGCAAGCTACAGAATAGTTGAGAAATGACCACTGCGCTAAATACTCAGTTATTTACGAGGGAAGAAGTACAGTAGATCACAAACAGAAGAATGCAAGAATGCATGCACATAATCCCAAAGAGAAGATTACGCGGACAAACTCTGGTGAGCACGTTTGTAGACATATATACAGATAAATAGATGGAGAGAAAGAGAGAGGCATTTATAAACATACAAGTTTCGGAGGAAATAAAATATCTAAAAACAATATTGACTTGTCATTTATGTTAAAAAACAGTATAAAAAAGGAATAGATAATGACATTCCACATGATATCGTTTAATGTACTACTTGAAAGAGACAGATATAGAATATCTGCTGTAAGTCTGTAACAGTGTTACTTGAAATTACACTTCTCCCATATCATGAATTAGGACTTGGTGGTAGCCATTTTCCTAATTATGAAACAGGAATCTGAAATAAGCCTCTTAAAATCAAATAAACACTTCAACAAAGATTAAGATGCTAGATAGGCTCAGTGTAATTAGTCAAATGACATGAAACACTTGAACAGAAGATTTAAAAAAATCTCAATTATGGTCCTAACTACAGGTGAAAGACAGCCTTTATGAATAAAGAGCCAGTTTCAGAAACAGCCCCTCTACCTCCACGAGTTAGTGGTAAGGTCTGCGTACACTCTACCCTCCCCATACTCACCTTAGTGGGATATCATTGGGTATGTTGTTGTTGTTGTTGTTTCGGTCCACTTAAATGTTGGCATTTTCTCAACTAGTGGGTATAGAGGAAGCAGATCTCAAATAGTTCTTGGTATAAATATTCCTAACAGTTGACCAAACCAAAAAAAACGAATATGATAACAGCATAATGAGTGAAAATTAGAGTACATCTTGTGAGTTCCACAATATTTTCTTGTCCACAAAGAAGAAAAGCTCTTCACAGACTTACCAGAGATGCACCTGAACCAACTGCAAATAGTTTGGCCCCATTTCTCTGCAGGACAAGTTATGAGTACATTAAGCTTCGTAAATACATATAACTTGCAGTAAAATATGATAAACATATTATAAATTTATCAAATATATTACCACTATGGCGCCTAGTCTCTGTAAAAGTGAATAGGAAGTACCAGACAACACAACCTGAGAACAGGATAAATGCAAAGTTCAGTCAGTTACTTGTATCGGGTAAGTAAAGGCCATCCCTTACCCCGCCAAAGGAAGAGCAAAGATTATGAAATAAAGATGTTTTAATTTCATTAATCATAAACCTGAAATGCATTGTCCGGACAGTTGTAGAAAAGTTTAGTAAGAGGCCCAGAGCCAATTGCCAGAGAAGGACGGAGACCGACAGTAGGAGCTGGGAGCCAGACTAGCATGAAATCAGCAACAATGGCCATCACCTGAGTAAAATACATGTCACGCCGAAGTCAAGTTTAGCATTTATAAGGAAATATTTACTTCTCCAGCACCAAAGAGCAGTGTCAGGAAAAGAAATTATGGCTTTCCATGATTGCCAAGAAAATTGAGGACAAAATTGTTCCCACAACCAACTGTACTAGATTTCATATCAGAATGCTTTCAGTTAGAAGTCAAGCACAAGCTGATTGTTCTTCAACAGACTACCTTATAATATGCTTAAGACGTGTTAAAATAGTCATCGTTGATATGTAAATGTGAAACAAACTTGTTCTGCAGCTCTAGCTAGATAAAAATGCTTATTTTGTTCACCCCTTTATTGTTTTACCATGTTGATTAGAGCTTTAACTGGTGCAACTTCAATACTGTATTAAATATGTTTCAGCCCCATTTATGGAAGAAATTGTACCACATCAGCACAGACAAAGTCCAGCTCCTTTGTGAAATTCTCTCTACGCTTCTCCAGCTCTGCAGCACTCTGAAACATAAACATGTAATTCAGCTATCCACATGACTGTTATATGTAACGAAACAAAGGTCGTTTTGCTACAAATGTTAAATGTCCCAACCTGACTAGTCATTACACTTCAAGTCAGTAGCATTCATGGAAATGGAGAAACACATACAAGAAATAAATATATACAGCTGCTAAATTGAAATATAATGCACAACTCAAACTGCATGAGAAATGGTAGATTTAATAGTTACTTTTACGTCTTTTCACGCAAACCATTTACACTACTAGCTCTCTGTTCTTTTTTGCCTTTTTCGATAAATTCACCCTTAATCTCATATTTTTCTGATAATAGCTAATATTAGTCTCTCCTTAGGACATAGTACATGATCTACTAATTCGAACTTCTTTTCCATTTCAAGTAACTCCAATTCGAAGAGGTCAATTAATTAGCATTGGAGAATGGAAATGTTACAACCTAATTATTCCATTCATTTCAAGGCTGAAGAGTAAATCTTCCTATGTATGTCGTTTGGTACGCGGGATAAGTTGAATAAATTTATACCGCAGCCAGACGCAGTCCCCCATATAAGTTAACTTCTAGAATCTAGCTAGAATGTTAATACAAAGAAATTAACCTTAGTAAAAATTCCAATGCCACACTCTATAGCAACTTTAGTTAAGAAAAGATCATCAGCCAGCAACCGTTCTCTAAATCCACCAAAGCTGAGCAGCCACCGGAGCACCGGTGACTTTTCGAGCTCCAAAAACCGGTGAATGACGGCCGGAGGTATTTTCCCGGCTTCAATTGCGGAAGCCAAGTCCTTAGGCAAGCTGTCTAATGTCCTTTCGGCTTCAGCCAAAGCCATTATTGCTTCTTTCTTGTTCCTTTCCCCTGCATTCCCGTCATCCTTCCCTCCTCCACCTCCTCCTCCGCCTCCGCCTCCGTCGCCGTCGATGTTTCCGCCTCCGTGGTGATTACTGAGAGTGGAGAATATGGGGAAGGAAGTACGAGGAGGGTTAAATTGGGCATTAAGTGAAAAAGTTGAAAAATTGATTGGGTAAGTGAGGGATGAGAAACAAAAAGTTGAAGATTGGTGGCGGCAGAGAGAGGTGGTAGAGAGGTAGGAGGTGGCCGTGGCGGTGGCGATGGCCGCCATTGGAGGTGGTGGAAGTTGTGGACTGTAATGACAGTTGACAGTTAGCTTCTTTTTTCTGCACTTTCTCTATTCTGATTTTTTTTTTTTAAAAAAAGGAGTAGAATACCTTAGGAGAATTTTCTGACACAAATAATTAATAACTCTCTGCAAACTTTATATGAGTAGTATATAATATAATTCTTTCTCTTAATAGTGAGTAATTTCCCTAGAATCACCCAGTTTTTCCGATTTTTCTCAAAATATACTTGACACAATGAATATATTCTCTCTCCTACTAGGATGTCATGTCACATTATTCCTTTTTATTACTCCTTCCGTCCACATTTAGTTGTCCATATTTCCTCTTTTAGTTGTCCCTATTTAGTTGTCCATTTTGACAAATCAAGAAAGGACAATAAATTTTTTCCTATTATACCCTTATTTAAATAAAGTTGTCATAAATAAAGGAAATAAACTTGTGAACTTCCCAACATTGATTAGTTATCTTGAGTTAACTTATTTTGGAATTGTAAATTGTACTATAAGGGTAAAATTGTAACTTCACTATGCTAATTATTGTTGTCTTAATCTGTGTACCATTTCTAAAGTGGACAACTAAATAGGGACGGAGGGAGTATTATTAACATTTTTAAAAAAAAATTTAGACAACCCATATATTATACCCAGTAAAAAAAAATACATAAGGAACTGTAATATGAGCTCCTCCGATTCTTCAAGAAAATATGTGGCTTCCTCCGGTTCTCAAGGAATAAATTAACGAATTTGCATAAGGAACTGTCTCCTGAGCCGTTGTATACCTTTGATGTTGATCAAAGAAATCGCCACAAGTTAAAATTCAAGTTTTCTTCTGATTCTTTTATTGTTGAAGTGTAAATTGTGAAATAATTTGAATACTTAACATGATATTGGAGTAATTTTCTTAAAATTTAGGGTTTTTTTGCTTGCTTGTTTTTGAATTAGATATTTCTAACATTGTTTGAATCTGCCTAAGCTTTGAACAAATGTTTATAGTTTGTGTAAAAATCTTTTTTTTACCATGAACAAGAAACCTTTGATTTTTTACCGTGAACAAGCAACATATGTTAGTTTGGCGTAAAAATCAATGTTCCTAATATCTAGTTTATCTCTAAATATCCAACTAAATTTATTGTTTCTTCATCAACTTCAAGGAACTAGTTTAATTTTTTCTTCGATAGCAAGACTAAATTTTTGTATGGATATAACGACAAATACTCGTAAATGAAACATAAGATAAAGATTTTCGCTATAAAATTGAAGTAACTAGATTTTCATAGAGAATGGATTAATGCTCTCTTATAGATACATTAAACAAGCTGTCATTTAAAGAATTAAAAATTTTTTATTTATAAATTAAAAAAATTTTATTTATAAATTAAAAAATGTGACATGGCATCCAGTAGGAGAGAGATAATATATTTTTTGTGTCAAGTACATTTTGAGGAAAATAGGCAAAATTGAGTGATATTATAGTCCTAAAACAAACATAAGTGATATTCCTAGGTAATTTCCCAAACATGGGTGACTATCGAGGGAAATTACTCCTTAATAGAGGGGTGTGCACTATTTGGATTAAACCGAAAAATCACATCAAATCAAACCAAATTCTAATTTGGATTGGTTTTTTGGATTTTTGGTTTGGTTTTGGATTTATAATTTACTTTGTTTGATTTTTTGGTTTCGAATTTAGAAAAATAAAATCCGAAAAATCGAAAAAACCAAATTATATTATATATATATATATATATATATATATATATATATATATATATATATATATATATAGGAATTAAGTTGGAGTTAACACTTTTGTCCCTTTTTAGTTATTTTTTGTGTTTGGACATCTATAATTGATATACTTTGAAGTATTGTGTTTTACATTTTACTTGTGATTTATATTAAAAAGTATATTTAAGAAATTCAATATATATATATTATTTTTTTCAAATTGCAAATATAACTTTGTTATGTTACTAATTATTGACATAACCGATTAACCGAACCGAAAAAACCCAAACCAAAATGAGAAAAACCAAACCAAACCAAATTTATTTTGATTCGGATTGGATTACACTTCTTCAAACCAAAAACCGAAAACCCAAACCAAAAAACCGAATGCACACCCCTACTTAATAGTCCTAAATAAATCTTGCATCATTTTGGCCCTATGTTTTCTCTTATCTGATTTATTATCATTTTTAATCTTATGAAGTCATAATTTTAAATAAGAGGATATTTTTAAAGTAATTAATATTTGGTTGAAATTGGGTGTTTTAGTTATATTTAGCTAATTATAATCTCTAGTTATATTATTATTTGTGATTTGATATATTTAATATATTTTTCATCAAAAATGATTTTAAATATGAAGATCATATTTAATATAATGCAATAATTGTGCAGCAATATTTTTAAAAAAAAAGAAAATTTCATGTATATACATGTGTGTCTTGTATTAATTTCCACGAGTGCATTTAGTAGAATATGAAAGCATGTATCCAATATCAATTTCACTAGTGTATTCAAAATCAATTTCATCTAATGTATTCAATATTAAATATTTGGTGTATTTTGTATTGGATATGATGTATCTAAAGCAATTTTAAACAATGTATATGTGTATAGATACATGCATCTGGTATCAAAGATACATGTATTTGATATCAAATATGCACTAATACATTTATCAATGACCTCTAAGTGTCATCACCATGAGCAGGAAGAGGAGAGAGAGAAAGAGGGGGAGAGAGAGAAATAGGTAGGAGATATGCGAACTAGAGAAACAAAAAGAAGTTTGATAAGAAGTTATTAAATGCTGAGTGATTATGTAATTATTTTAAAATGTAATGAAATTTAATAGATGATATGGATGTTTATCTAATTACTTTTTTTTTAATGATTAATTAGTCCTGATTAGTAGTGTGACGTATCCAAAATTTAATAACAACCCTTATACATGTTTGGCATACGTTACCAGATTAAGGGAGTGGTCCATAAAGTGTAATTTTCACTTGTGGCTATCTTTTATCAATTCAATACAATATATTATACCGTACCATTTTCTCTATATTTTACTCACAAAAGTGCAACTTTTTATCATATTATATAAAATGTAGTTAAAGAGTTCATTTTTATCCAACTTTTCTAAAACTTTATGCAAGTAACATTTTTCAAGTAGCCAATGTTAATTTTTTCTTAAACTTCCTTTAACTTCAATGTTTATACTTAGCTTATTGAGCCACATAGTGGCATCTACGTTTCTTTTCTTTTTAATTTTCTCATTTGAAGTAGTATATGTGAAGTTAAAACATATACGACGAAATATTGACTGTAGAAGATAAGCAGGAGTATAAATTATGGCCAGGAAATTGAGTCATATGATATCCATATTTGTGATCCAAAACAAACATAATAAAGGTGTGATCCACTTCCATCTTTTTATTTCCACAAGACACTGACTATACATAAAAGCAAAACTTTCTGCTCCTCCAAGTGGTTTTACCCCATGATATTTGTGATGATGAGCAGTAGGTGATATCTTTGTTGCTCGGACTCTTCAAAAATTTCATTAGGTGTATGTCGTATCCTTCAAAAGCTTTGCATTTTTAAGCGATCCGACACGAGTGTAGCAACATTTGGTGAAGATATTTAAACTAGAAATCAAATCTTCATTGGAAACTCAATTAATACTGAATACACGAGTTAATACCTCAAAAGGTCACTCAACTTTGAGAATTTATTTAGTAAAGTCATTGAACTTTGTTTTAAATCAGTAAAATCACTCAACTTATGCTTTTGTATCAATAAAATCACTCAACTAAATTTATTATCTATCTATCATCATCATATATTATTATAAGTGGGAACAAAAAAGTTAAAAGTTGAATTACGATTTTACCCTTACTATAAATTAGAAGAATGTTACACAAAAGTTAGATTATTGTTTTAACCCTACATTAAATTAAAATGTTATAAGCTATTAATAAATTAAATCTTAAATAATAATTGTATCATATTATTATATTATTATATTAATGCTAATCAGTATATACTTGCTTGTTTGTTTTATCCGTTTTTGGCTTTTGATTTTCTTCCTAATCTAAATTACTCTCCCATAACCTATAAATGTTCACTTATTGCTATAATAATTATATTAAAGAAGGTGAATGAAGAGTTGCACGGTATTTAATTATGAGAGAAATGTTCAGTTATAGCAAAAATAATTATGAATAAGGAGAATGAAGAGTTGGGGTAATTTACTATAAGAGTCAATATTATATTTGTGTAGCAAAGAGGTCACCCAATGGTTATATAGCAAAAATGCATGATTGTTAAACAAACTTTTCATTTCACTCTAAATACATTAGTTGATCACTAATCACTTTTATTATATTCTTTTATTTTTTACAGGAGAAAAATATACATGTACATTCTAAAACTTCATACGGAGCTTACAATGTGATGGGAATGGATGTTGAAAATCTTTGCGGAGGTTGATAATCATCTTTTCACAAAGTTGGCCTTCTAACAAGAATAGTAAGTAACTAATTAATACATTTTCATGTTTTGAAATCTTCTCTTTTAATATTTAATTTTTAGGCAATTATTGACGGAATTCCGCGCGTTTTCACTAATTTACATATTTTGGGTAAGTGAGATGAAAACTCCCTTCTTCCTTTCTTTGTCATTTCACTTAATTATGTTATTTAAGTTGATCATCGAAAAAGTGCTACATTTATCTTTCTTTCATTAAATTTATTCCCTTTATTTTATAAGAGCTTAGTTTTTCCCTGTTTCATATCATACATAGCTAGCTACAATCTTTGGAAGAAAATTATTGTAGATAATAATGATGGTCATCTAAGTATTATGTTGATTACCTAATTTTTTATTGCATTCAACTATGTACCGTCTCAAAGTGTACAAAAAAGGCATCCACGTTAGTGAAGTTTACATGCACTTCTTAAATTTAGAGCAAGAGTTCCTTGATATGTTACATATCATCAGATGCTATATTGTCTTAATTAGTTTTACATAATTCAACATATTTTATTTTCCAAATAAATAACTAAAAGTTAAATGAAAAGAATTAGATGTCACCCTTGTATT